ATATAAACCCATTTTCATACTTCCAACAGACCTCACTACCTCTGAGGATGCTTGCCATAGATGCAGGCGAAAAGTCAGGAGAATGCCTCTAGAACATGGCCATATAGCCCGAAAAAACCTACAACAACCAAGAAATTTGGGTTCACGGTTCTCTCATGTCATCAAAGTTTGGCTCCCAACCTCTTTTTTGTTTATAGAAATACCAATTGCTTTGAGTCTCCTTGTGGAGAGAAAAGCGGGCTATAAATAAACATAATAATAATACTAATATTAACCATCATCATAAGTGTAACACTTTGTCTGCAAAGTATCATTTTCTTAGAGACCTTACAAGATTACTTTTTGAAAGAAAAATATTCCCATTACATGTTACAGAATTTGGAATACAGTTCACAGCTATTATCCATTACAGTCTTTTTAAAAAAGTAAACAATTACATTTCTTTTGCTTAAAAAAAACAAACACCTTTGGATCAAAATGAGAATGCTATGAAGCTTGCAACCAAGCAAATATCATTATGAAAGAATTAATATTGTGAAGTATAAGTTGAGTTTATATTTAATTAACTGAGGTTGAGTTAAAGTTCAACTTCCTGACAATCATTTTGAAAGAGAGAGAAAGATGAGAAAAGAGTAAGAATCTAGGGGAAAGGGGGTGTGAGGAAGCATAAGATTACTGCTACCAATTTGTAACTGTTTGTAAAGGAGCCACCACTTTGTGAGGGTTTATTTAATTGATAGCTCATAATATTGATTTGGTCTTTGTTCTGTGTAGTGTGACTTAACTTGGAAAGGAAATGTTACCAGGATAAGGCTTTAGGAAAAACAGTAACCAGTTTATTGAAATGTAGAAGCAGTGTGATGGATTCAGTGTTTCCTACTCTTAGAGGCACAGATTTTCAAAGGTTACATTTATAACTTTTCTTAAACAAGAGTTGTTTAAGGACTCTTCCTTCCACTAAACAGGTTTCCAACTTATTTTTCTTCAAACTGTGTTTCTTTATTTAATAGATTACTTCAGTTACAAGCTTATTCTTTCTTTATGGTGTTTCTGTTAGAATAGAGACTCTCACTGAGTTTCTCTCACCCTTTCTCTCAACACTAACTATTAATATAAATAAGCCAACTCGACTTATTTAAACTACTCAGGCTAAAAGCCCAAACCTCTCTGATTCTTACTACAGTAGAATCAGTTCTTTCCCTGTAGTTTTTAAACTACAGATCCCTTCTGGTTCTCTCTACTCAACAGAACCAGCCTCTCCTACCGTTCACAGACTGTAGACTATTTCCCTGATTCTCCTCCTAGAGAATCAGTCTTCTCCGTAGCTCTCCGGCTACAGACTAACTGTTTAAAATGGCTGCCCTGCCAAGTGGCAGTTGGCTCCGCCCCTGTTTCCATGGTAACCCAGCTCACAATAAGCTGAGCTGGCTGTCATCTCCCTTGGTTATGCAACTTTCAATACTTACCCTTTAAACATCTGTCTATAATTATACATAACATCTATAATTACACATAACTGCAAGTTAAAAATTTACACTTCACCACAGGAGGAATCCTTGTTTTATAAAAAGGATACGAACACTGACGGCTTCAGCATCGGTACTCAGCAGGCGTTTCACTTCCTTCTCCACATCTGGAGACTCAATGTACTGGGCCAGGAAAGAGAAAAAGAATGGTAGTCCAAGTTAGTTGCTTCCTCAGTAAAAAAATACATGAGTATTTTGAGTCTAACAAACAATAGCGAAGGTGCAGCGCAATTACAACTCACTTTTTTCTTAGCTGTCTTCCTGAACCGCCTCTTTCTCACATTTTTCAGTGGAAGAGTAACTGAAATAACACATAGAAAATAATGATACTATGTTAAAAAGTAGAGATAAGTCAAAGGTAGAGATGAAGAAAAGAATCCAGCTTCTGATGTTTTGGCAGAATGGAGGATATTATTATTATTTTATTATTTACTATACTTCTATACCCCCATTCTCAGCCAAAGAATGGCGGTTTACAAAACAGCACAATTCGATGCCCACAGCAATACAAAAATAATTAAACATTAAAAACATTTAACATAGATAAAAAATTAATTACAAATAATATCGATAAAACACCGGGATTGTAGCGCAGCTGGCTGAGTGTCAGCTGCATTAAGATCACTCTGACCAAAAGGTCATGAGTTCGGAAGCAGCCCGGGTTGGAGTGGGTTTCCAACCAATTGTGTAGCCTGTTGTCGACCTTTGCAACCCGTAAGACAGTTGCATCTGTCAAGTAGGAAAATCAGGTACCACCTTAAAATGTGGGGAGGCTAAATTAACTAATTTATGAGGCCATAAAAAAGACTCCAGCAAAGCACTCCAGCAAAAAAAAAGCATGCAGGGAATGCGGAAGTACTTCATCAGTGTCGCAGATGGACGATGAAAGCGACAGCTCCCCTGGCGGCCAGAAAAAAAAGATTACATTTATAACTTTTCTTAAACAAGAGTTGTTTAAGGACTCTTCCTTCCACTAAACAGGTATGTCTGTATATGTCTGTATATGTTTGTATGTCAAAAATTGTGTATGTCTGTATATGTTTGTATGTCAAAAATTGGCATTGAATGTTTGCCATATATGTGTACACTGTAATCCGCCCTGAGTCCCCTGCAGGGTGAGAAGGGAGGAATATAAATGCTGTAAGTAAATAAATCAATCAATCAATCAATAATAAAAAACCATAAGTCCTCTGCATTTCATTACCAATCATTATCCAGTCTGGATAGTGTTCCTCACATACATGGTGTTGAGACTCAGCGTTTGTCTCATGCACCTACTACTAGTAGTAGAAGGAAACGTGGTTTAGAGGATGAAGAAGCTCAGCAACAGCTGAAACGGATTAGAGACTTGTTCTTAGAGACTACGGATGAGGAGGATTTTGAGGGTTTTACTCGCGAGGAAATGGAGCTGGAAGATTACAGAGGTGTAAAGAGAGTAGCCAGCAGCTCGAATAGCGATGTGGGATCTGTTGCTAAACGCCTTAGAGATATAGCTGATTGTGGGGAGTTTGACAGCGAAGAGGAAGAGCTGGACTGGACTAAAGTTCAGGAAGTAATGGATGTGATTACTGCTCCCACTTCTAGTGATGAATTCCAGGGTTTTGATGATACTTGGGTTGCAGATAATACTTTGCAGGATGGAGTCCGAAGTACTGACTGGCAACAATGGCGCAGCCGGGATTCACCTGTGGAATTAGACGCAGCTGAAAGTGACTC